TTGGTGTTGTGTACTCAGGTGAATAATATGTATGCGATGTTACTCTGAGCGCATATCCACACCGGGCGAGCTTGAAAAATATGCCCGGCCACGGTGGGATTCGAACCTACGGCCTTTCGAATGCTACCCCCATGCTCTTCCAACTGAGCTACGCGGTCAGGACGGTTCGAGTAAGTGATATTTCAGAACAGTATCTAGTTCCTTCAATACCAATGTGTTCTAGTAATATGAATTTTTTCTGTGTTAGTGTTGTGTACTCAGGTGAATTTAATATGTTTGCGATGTTACTCTGAGTGCATATCCACACCGGGCGAGCTTGAAAAATATGCCCGGCCATGGGGGATTAGAACCTACGACCTTTGGAATACTAGCCCAATGCTCTTCCAGCTGAGCTATGCGGTCAGGACCGTTCGAGTAAGTGATATTTCGGAACAGTATCTAGTTCCTTCAATACCAATGTGCTCTAGTAATATGAATTTTTCTGTGTTGATGTTGTGTACTCAGGTGAATAATATGTTTGCGATGTTACTCTGATTGCATATCCACACCGGGCGAGCTTGAAAAATATGCCCGGCCACAGTGGGATTCGAACCTACGACCTTTGGAATACTAGCCCAATGCTCTTCCAGCTGAGCTACGCGGTCAGGACCGTTCGAGTAAGTGATATTTCGGAACAGTATCTAGTTCCTTCAATACCAATGTGTTGTAGTAATATGAATTTTTCTGTGTTGGTGTTGTGTACTCACGTGAATAATATGTTTGCGATGTTACTCTGAGTGCATATCCACACCGGGCGAGCTTGAAAAATATGCCCGGCCACGGTGGGATTCGAACCTACGACCTTTGGAATACTAGCGCAATGCTCTTCCAACTGAGCTACGCGGTCAGGACGGTTCGAGTAAGTGATATTTCGGAACAGTATCTAGTTCCTTCAATACCAATGTGGTCTAGTAATATGAAGTTTTCTGTGTTGGTGTTGTGTACTCAGGTGAATAATATGTTTCCGATGTTACTCTGATTGCATATCCACACCGGGCGAGCTTGAAAAATATGCCCGGCCACGGTGGGATTCGAACCTACGACCTTTCGAATACTAGCGCAATGCTCTTCCAACTGAGCTACGCGGTCAGGACGGTTCGAGTAAGTGATATTCCAGAACAGTATCTAGTTCCTTCAATACCAATGTGTTCTAGTAATATGAATTTTTTCTGTGTTGGTGTTGTGTACCCAGGTGAATTTAATATGTTTGCGATGTTACTCTGAGTGCATATCCACACCGGGCGAGCTTGAAAAATATGCCCGGTCACGGTGGGATTCGAACCTACGACCTTTGGAATACTAGCGCAATGCTCTTCCAGCTGAGCTACGCGGTCAGGACCGTTCGAGTAAGTGATATTTCGGAACAGTATCTAGTTCCTTCAATACCAATGTGTTGTAGTAATATGAATTTTTCTGTGTTGGTGTTGTGTACTCAGGTGAATAATATGTTTTGCGATGTTACTCTGAGTGCATATCCACACCGGGCGAGCTTGAAAAATATGCCCGGCCACGGTGGGATTCGAACCTACGACCTTTGGAATACTAGCCCAATGCTCTTCCAACTGAGCTACGCGGTCAGGACGGTTCGAGTAAGTGATATTTCGGAACAGTATCTAGTTCCTTCAATACCAATATGTTCTAGTAATATGAATTTTTTTTTCTCTGTGTTGGTGTTGTGTACTCAGGTGAATAATATGTTTGCGATGTTACTTTGAGTGCATATCCACACCGGGCGAGCTTGAAAAATATGCCCGGCCACGGTGGGATTCGAACCTACGACCTTTGGAATACTAGCCCAATGCTCTTCCAACTGAGCTACGCGGTCAGGACGGTTCGAGTAAGTGATATTTCGGAACAGTATCTAGTTCCTTCAATACCAATATGTTCTTGTAATATGAATTTTTTCTGTGCTGGTGTTGTGTACTCAGGTGAATAATATGTTTGTGATGTTACTCTGAGTGCATATCCACACCGGGCGAGCTTGAAAAATATGCCCGGCCACGGTGGGATTCGAACCTACGACCTTTGGAATGCCAGCCCAATGCTCTTCCAACTGAGCTACGCGGTCAGGACGGTTCGAGTAAGTGATATTTCGGAACAGTATCTAGTTCCTTCAATACCAATGTGTTCTTGTAATATGAATTTTTTCTGTGCTGGTGTTGTGTGCTCAGGTGAATAATATGTTTGTGATGTTACTCTGAGTGCATATCCACACCGGGCGAGCTTGAAAAATATGCCCGGCCACGGTGGGATTCGAACCTACGACCTTTGGAATACTAGCCCAATGCTCTTCCAACTGAGCTGCGCGGTCAGGACGGTTCGAGTAAGTGATATTTCGGAACAGTATCTAGTTCCTTCAATACCAATGTGTTCTTGTAATATGAATTTTTTTTCTGTGCTGGTGTTGTGTACTCAGGTGAATAATATGTTTGTGATGTTACTCTGAGTGCATATCCACACCGGGCGAGCTTGAAAAATCAAGCTCGCCCGGTGTGGATATGCACTCAGAGTAACATCACAAACATATTATTCACCTGAGTACACAACACCAGCACAGAAAAAAAATTCATATTACAAGAACACATTGGTATTGAAGGAACTAGATACTGTTCCGAAATATCACTTACTCGAACCGTCCTGACCGCGTAGCTCAGTTGGAAGAGCATTAGGCTAGTATTCCAAAGGTCGTAGGTTCGAATCCCACCGTGGCCGGGCATATTTTTCAAGCTCGCCCGGTGTGGATATGCACTCAGAGTAACATCGCAAACATATTATTCACCTGAGTACACAACACCAACACAGAAAAAAATAAAGTAAAATATCTTACCTTGGTAAACAGTCAAACAGATACAACGTGTGCTATTATACTTTGTGCTTTAGGTCTTCGCTTTCTAAGTTAGCAGAGTGTTGCCTTTTTTTTTGTAACGGTTCTTCGGTGTTTTCGGACGTTTTTCAACTTTTTTTCAATATTAAATATTGTTTGTATTTTGTCTTTTAAACTCCCGTGCAATCCACGCAACCCGCGTGAAAATTCCCCGTGTTTCTATCGAGTTATAGAAACACAGGTTTTTTTGAGCTTTTGACCAATCAGCATGCACCCGTGTTTTTAAAAGGCTATTTTATAATATTTATTATTAAATGAATAAGTTTAATAAAATAAGTTTAGTTTTTAAAATTTACCGTCAAAATCGTTTGCAATTTGCGAACTTGGTTTGGAATTTCATAACGAATTTCGATAATTGGATGCGAAACTTTCGAATTCGATTGGCCGGTTTCCAATCAACTTGATGATCTCGTGTTTATAGTTCCCAAATTCCCAACCAATCTCGCAACTGGCGTGGCCAAAGTTTCGTGAAATCAACAGTAACATCCAGGGATGTTACGAGGCAGCAGGTGTTTTGCGAGGGGGAAGGGGGCAGTCAGAAGATTTTTCCTGAATTAGCTTTTAACGTTAAAAGTTGTAGATTGTAAGGAACAGTCGTATAGCTGAAAGAATAATGGTTGGGTGGGAGAAGCAAAATTTCCTTCTTTCTACCTTTTCCTGATTTAATATATGATACCTTATTTAATATTATTCATACTGTCGGTTATAGAAACTGAAAACCTTTTTTAAATATTTCCTCTTTTGATAGAAGCACCGGGAGCAGTGAAACAAAAGAGATCACCAACTACAGACCGAAAACTGTCGGATCGTGCAAGTGAATATGCTTTGATTCAGTATCTATCTACACTTGTGAAGAAAAGAAATATTATAGAATCTTTCGACTTTGATTTCGTTGAGTATTTATTAGAGAACGGGGCAAATATTAATCATTGCGATGTCATTGGACAATCACCATTTCATATTGTGGCCAAGTATTGGAATATTGATGTCGCGAGATTTTTACTTGACAACGGTAGGTGGAAGTTGAGTATATGCTTGTACAAACGGCAGCGATTTGTTGCGTCCTTTCCACGTCAATTTTCATATATTCTCGAGCATATAAGTAGACGTCTAGACGTGCTTCAAGACTGTCTCTCAAATATTTCGAGAAAATGGGTTTTTATTTGGGAGCAATAAAGAAAAATAAATTTAAATAGAGAATATAGAAATTCATGAAAACTCCCAAATATTTGAAGAGACAGACTTTGGCAAGCCTAATAGATCTGATAGACTCCGCCGGTGTATGACTCATGCCGTGCTTCTGAGTATAGTATGTTATTACTATATTATTACAACGTTGTACGATAATCATATTATTTGTCACTTTCTCTGTGACAAATGAAGGACGATATAGGTCGACGGCCGTTTCGGAGTGATTTCTCAGTCCTATACAGACATGCAATCCTAAAACGATAAATAAAAGAAATATTAAACAAATAGAATTATTTTCGAATATTTCCTGAGTTTCATTCTTTATGATACGTCAAAAACGCTCGCTTCAGGCATCTGACGTGGGGGCCTGTATATATCCCCCTCCCCTCCCCAAATTCACAAAAAAATTAAGAACGCACGTACAACAAGCAGTTAAACCATATTACAGATTTACAGTAGAACAAAGAACTTTCAAGCTTCATCACCCAGTTCCCTTCACTCTTCGGATCCCAATGTCATGCATAACAAATGATTAATATAGCAACATTTTTATTTCCTATAGGTGCTGAAATCAATGCTCAAGATTGTTTCGGCCGTTCGCCGCTGCATGAAGCTTGTGCGTTGAACTACGTCGATATGGTAGAATTCCTTCTCCAGAATGGCGCGAATATCGACATCCAAACTTTTGATCAAAAACAAAGACCAATTCATTTTGGTGCTAAAAACGATTCATGTCAATGCTTGACCAAGTTACTAGCGTATGGAGCTGATATTAATTCTCTTGATAGTAAAAACAGAACACCACTTCAGGTTTGTTAAATATACTACCCGCGTTATTGAAACTAAATATAGCTACGTGCATGCATAGATCCATACATATAGATCCTATTATATATCCTTTGAGTTTTGTTCTTTGTTTTCCATGGTTTTATAAATGGGACACACGCTTTTCATTGGATTTTGATCAAGTGCATGCATGGTATCGCAAACCACTGGTGCTGTATATCCAACCAGACTACACTCAACTTCTCACTAGCTTTAGAAAGCTTAGTAATTAAAGTAAAACAGAGCTCAGTTCTTCAATACTCTGTTCTCCGTTTAACTGCAGCGGAAATTCATATCCTTTTCAATAGCAATTATCATTAATATCAGTATGATTCAAGATTAATTTCCTGCATTAGCGAGGTTCTTATATAGTTTTGTCTTCAGTTTTGAGAACAATCTTTCACTGACACGAGCATTGTGTGTCGACATTCAATTATTTTCCTTTTCTGAAAGAAAATGTCCGCCGCCAAGTTGATATTTTCGCGAACGGATTTTTTCCCTAACAAAATTGACGGCTGGGCTAGCTTGCATAGGCTCAGAAGCCAGCCTAGCCAGGTGAATTTTAAGGATAAGGAAACAGTCTGGATCTGTCCTTCGTCCAGTAATTCTGGCCCAAATGTTCTCCTGGCCTTCGTCCGCGTTCGCGTTCGATTGTCCGATCACTCAGGCCACTCAGTGCGCTCCTGGATTTTGTTACAGTACCAGCTGTACCAGCCTGTACTGACCAGCCTCTTACCAGCTTCATGCCTTCATAACCAGATATTTGGGTTTGCTACACCGTTGTGTGACGCGCGTGGCAACCAGGGCGCTTATATATATAAGCGCCCTGGACCGGTGGCAACTGTAGCCGGCAGCAAACCAAAGCGCCTATGTGTTGTGTATGGCCGTATAACTATCAGGATTGTGGGCATATAACTACTTTTGTACATTTATTGATGGAAGTTAGATGGAAATTTGTACATTTATTAGACTTACCAGGAGGAGTTGCCAAAAATGCACTATAGGCTCTCTGGCAGGAATCGAACCTACGGCTCTGAGTCTAGACCAACCTCGTTCCCAGGCTCTTTCCTCTTGTGAAGCTTCGCAAGAGCAAAGAGCCTGGGGACGAGGTTGAGTCTAGACCTCGCCGCAGGCTAGAGGCTCAGTAGTATAGACTGGCTCGCCGCTGCGGCGCCCCTAAAATTGAAGCCAATTATCATTTATCCCATTCAACCCTGAGGACCAGTACATAGACATAATCATCAGCGTAGTTTTTCTGTTTCTATATTCAGCTTGCCGCAGAAATGAACCGTGCCAACATCGCATTGTTACTGATCAATGAAGGGGCTTCAGCTGCAATTTGCGACAACGAAGGCAACTCAGCGTTGACACTACTCACAGAAAAAATGCCTGATGTCGCTGTACAAGCAATGGATCAACTGTACTCAACAGACAACGTCAATCGTAAAGAGTTCTTCTCTCTTAATAACTTAGAAGGTACAAAGATTAACGAAGGACGTACAACCGCTGCACGGACACCACTTGAGATTGCAGTTCAGAAACGTTGTTTCTCCATCGTCATGCATCCTGTTGTTCAGCGGTTGATCGAATTAAAATGGGAACACTATGGCAAGTCAGGCGCTATCTGGGATCTCATGTTAAACCTTGGATACGCAATACTGTGGACTATACTCAGTTTAGCATTGTGTCACGAAGCAAGGCATATGTATTTACCATTGGGATCAAAAGGATGGTTGTTGGGCATTGTTATTGTTATTGTGATTATGACTGGGAATGAAATTAGAAAACAAATTAAAGGTATAGCTGTAGAGACTGTAAACTATTTTTTTCTACTTCATCCTGTAGGTATCCATATTAACCTAGAGGGTTCATAATATATAGAGTCACAATAAATCCCGAATCCCTCGCGCGCGTGTTGAATTCTCTCACTATACCGCACGTTTCCACGACCTTTCCTCATCCCGCGTCCTTCGACCATTTGACATGTCGAATGTTGCTAGTTTTCCAAAACCTCACTTGATCAACGAACATATACTTAAGGATTAAGATCTGGGGCATCTCACTCGATAGAACTAAATGTTAGATGGTTTCTGCAAATGGAAAGAAATCTCCAGTGTAATCATTATACATTTAATCATTTATTAGACCTAAACCTGGAAAAGCTGCGAAAAAATGCGACTATATAAGGCCCTCTCGCAGGAATCGAACCTGCAGCCCCGCGATTCCGGCTCAGCGCTCCAAACAACTGATCGAGCTACAGAGGCCACGTCCATTTAGTTCAGTGTCTTATGTCGTAATTATGTCAGTGTATAGGTAAAATATCAGAATTTTTGGGATCTCGCTCGATTTTTTCGATTCCTGCCAGAGGGTCTATAATTGCATTTTTCACAGCTGCTCCTGGTTAGATCTAAAATTGTATAAAATTTCCACTCGAGAGATTTCCATCTACAGAAATCTAAGTTTCACATGTGCATGTTGTCACGAACTGAGTTAAACGTCAAGAATAATTAGTTTCGGCTTTACAAAGACTATTCTTCTGATTGAATCACTTGATACTTACTTGATATCAAATTACCAAGTTACCAAGATAAAAAGCAATTTGGTCTACCACTCTACCTTACATTTAATTTTTTTTTGAGAAAAAGAACCAAGATAGCGAATTGGTGGTCAAATTTGTTGCCAATACCGGCAATTCGACAGTTTTACTTAATTGAGAGAATCTTAGTAAAGGATTCAGAAGCAGCAGACATTCTTAATTAATAACGTATTTTTTCCAACCGTACCATTTCAGATACACTTCACGTTCGCCAACAAGAGAAAGACTGGATTAACTGGCGAGCTTACAGTCTTGAAGAAGATCTTGGATATTGCCATCCAGGGAGTACAGGTGAATGGAAATATTTAGCGAAGGAAGTGAAGTCAGTTAGAAATCATTCAACATATTTCAACAATGGCGATGGATGGATCTACTTTGATTGGTTGGCTTTACTGCTTGTTATCACAACAATAATAACGCATATTGCATTCCTGAAAACTGACAGTAACATTGCTTATAAAATCCACAGATGCATATTAATCATGTTGTTATTGGTGCTTTGGATCCGTATTGCAAAATACGCCAGACCTTTTCAATCAACCGGGCCAATTGTGGTGATCTTTTCTCATATCTTGAAGGATATCATCAAATGCTCCTTCCTTTTTGCCATATTGTTTATTCCATACGCATGCGCATTCTGGCTTACATTTGGTCCATTTTCTCCAGAACCAGTCACTGGATACAATAACTTTGGTGACTTGTTTTATACCATGCTTTGTATGGTTGTTGGAGTAGATTTTCCGTTTGAAGATCTACTTTCAGTAGATCCATTCATGGCTCGACTTCTGTGCAGTTCATTCATTATCAGTACAGCAGTCGTTGTGGTGAATCTCCTCATTGCATTGCTCTCCGACACCTTCACACGTCTCTATAGCAATGCCGTAGCGAATGCAGTTATGCAGAGAGCGCAGAGTATTTTGCAAATAGAAAAAACGATGTGCAAGAAGCGAAAGCAAGATTATTACAAGTTTATGAGAGATAACTGTAGTCCTCAGGTTGTTTCAATGGGTTTCAAAAGTCAACCTAAAACTGAGAAAGGGAATACAACGGATACAATATTGAACGAAATTAAAACTCTGAAGACTACCGTTGAATGTTTACAAGGAAAATGGTATATACTATTCAGTTTGATAATTTAATTTTATAAAATCGTTAAAATTTCCGTATAATAGATTTGAAACTTGTCCATATTTCGTAGTGAATCACGGAAGATAACAGTCATAGTTTTGATAAGCCAGGGACCGCCGATAACTTACTCGCAGCTCGAAATTAAACTCCCTAAATTTCGCAACAAATTTGGGCTGCGAGCAGGCTGGGGACCGCGCAGCGATTTTACGATTGGGAGGGGGGGGGGGGCTGGTGTTGAGATGAAGTAGTTCTTAGAGTGTCTTTGGGCATCCCCCCACCCCCTCCCCCAAGAATATTTTGAAAATTACATTTGAATTGAATTTATCACTGACAATTAAAATTACGATTTACGTATAGGCGCGTTTAAAACTGCGACACTGTAGAAGTCCAAAACACATTCAAAACAGTAATATGTTTCACCTTTCAAAACTGATTATTTTGGTTAAGCCAATGGCGGTCACGTGGAAAAGAAGAAATATATTTCAACCAGCTGAGCATGCAACTATTAGTTTTTATTATTGTACTAGTGTACAAATATCCCAAACACGAAAGACCATATGCGTTCATTATATATTATGAAAATTAATGGGGGGGGGGGGCGCCTTCCGCTTGTGGTCCCTGTAAGCAGCCTTTGATCCGTAAGTCTCGCTTCTCGTCTGCAACAATAAATAACTTATAATTATGTGACATGTTCTGACATTTTATCATCTGATAACTTATCAAATAAATTCATTATGCAATAGTGTTACTGATTTACCGCTGTATCATGTATCAATAATCTCTATTATTATATACCAACTACACAGCTAAAAACGCACAGGTTGTTCCAAGTTGATATCGACAGGCGTGAACAATGTTGTGCGGCCAACTATGAACAAGTTGTCAACCATGTTGTTCCAAGTTGTTACAGTTGAACAATGCTGTAACAACATGTTGACAATACGTTCATAGTGGTCCGCACAACCTTGTTCACGCCTGTTGATATCAACCTGGAACAAGTTGTTGATTTTCTCAATTTTTATGCGTGTGGTAGTAAAGTCGCATTTTTCTAGTGTTTTATTGGCTGAGAGCATATCACGTGAGAGTGACCGAAATTAGGCTGTCTCCCTCACAACAGCGCGAGAGGGAGATAATACGATATCGACCGGCGCGGAATAACGAAAAAAAATCACGTGCGTCATCACGTGAAGATGCGACCTTTGGAACATGCCTAAAAGCGTAAATGCCTAAAACAATTTAACATTTCGCTTTAAGTAGTTGCAGTGTTTAATTTAACGTTTTAACAATAAAATATTTTATGTAGGCCTATTTACGTTCATTTGTTCTTTAATTTGTTGTTTCTTTGATCTTTGACTATTGATATATAATAAAATACTTATTTACTGGAACCTCGGGAAAGCAGTATGAGTATGTTTTGTGGACTCTCGACCGTCGATGTTTCCCTCGGCTTCGCCTCGGGAAACATCGACGGTCTCGGGTCCACAAAACATACTGTTTCCCTCGCTCCCAGTAAATAAGTGTCAATTATTTATACACTCAATCCACCGTTCCCATGATGTATAAGAAGAGTTAGGTTTTCCTATTCTTTTAACTGAACATTTCAATTTTTTTTCCAGCTACTCAAGACAAGAAAGTACAAGTGCGTCAATCGGTGAACTTCTAAGACACAATCACGAAAACACAGTTAAAATAAATAAAATATTAAATATTTTAGTTGCAAAGAAACAAACGGATCCTGGTATTTCAGATTACCTGTTAAAAAGGCAAGATATCTCCGAGCATGTTGAGCAACGTCATGAAGATCCTGGGCCAAGACTTCGCAAAGTGCTTCAATCAAGTGGTAGTATATCAACCGTTCAGAACATTGACAGGAGAACAAGATACTCTAGTCTTGGTGAAGTAAACGAAGGTTTTGAAGATAGTGAGTTTCCTGATACCCTCACAGCAAGAAGGAATGACATGATTGTAGATATCATACGACATAGAAAGTCAACATTACGTAGAAGCAGTACAGTGTCTATCCCAGCGTTCAACTTTCTAGCAACGGGAGCTGCAGGTGGAAGATCTCGTTCATTTGCTCGACGTTTTATACATTTTAATAGAACAGACTCCCACCGCGCAAGTTGTGGCAGTATTTCATTATAAAATACATGACTTCAAGAATTTCAAAAGCTGCTATTACGTACGCTACCACTAAATACGATGATTTATTGATGATTTCTACAGAGTACAGCTTTAATTGACTATTTTTGACACACGTACAGCAATTCAGTGCAAGCATTCTAAGCAGTGCCCGAGGTCTCTTACTATCTCTAATCTCTGTAAATAGATTATTAAGTTCAAAATCCTAACATAAAAATAATTAGTTACATGCACTCTCTGGAAAACATTCACCGGTAAAAGCGGAATACATTGGAATACATAGGATTTTACTAGGAGAGTCGCAATAATCCTCCGGAAATAAAAAAACATGGCTGCATTCCGATTTATCCTTTTAATTATATGTTTATATAAAAGAAAAGCTAATCGTCATATAAATATCTCATATTCTCATGCCATCAATGCATCATATATTTAATGCTGGCTCACATAAATACATAATTCACATGATGTGTACAAATATTGTAAAAAGGTTTTTTCTAATTCTATGGACAAAGCACTCGTAGTATATCAACCGGCTTTAATATTTAATTCAAACTGTATAGTTGTACAAAATATACTGGATATTGATAGGAAAATATTTATGTAATTATAGCTAGCCAAGTCAGCCAAGGCTAATAGTAATATACTTAAAACTTACTATGTTTTTAACTGGTAATTAATGCATTCGAAAAGTTGCTCTCAATCTTTAATTCGTAGCCTGCGAACAGGCTCTCAATCTTTATTTCGTAAACATTTGTGCGTGCCACAAAGAGACCCGATCACTCAGTGGTGGCTTTCCTAGTCTGTGTGTAGACCGAAGAGTGAAGTTGAATAAACCATAAACCATGGCAACTTTTCGGATAGGGAAAATCAGACTGAATCAAAATTGATGATTGCATCATGGTTTACGAATGATACGGAGTTGGAAAAAGTTATATTGCCGGAATGGACCTTATTTAGTCAGTTCCCGCTGGTTTAGCCTCATTTGATGCCTAAATTTGTACATTTACCCTGCCCTATTTGCGTAGGTTACGTAGGTGAGCATCGGAAGGGCGGAACAAAAAAAATAGTGGGCATGATGGGAGAAAATCCACTCCAAAAAATGTGGATTTACGAAACTTAAGGAATGAGGAACAAGACTCGTTAGATTCAGCTCATTATAAACAGGAACATTTTGAGGTTAATTGATCAAATGAGAACGCAATTCATCGCAAGACTCTTCAAGTATACTTGCACTTCAGCACTTGCTCAAAACCTTCAAAAAATAAAGCGACTGCTACGCAGGCTAGTTGCTGCCATGCGACTGACCATGGCTCAAATCCTAGCTCCCAATACTGCAATAGCAACCAATTTCCGCATCACGTATACGAACAATTAATGATTATTTATAAAAATATAACTCAATATCGTTTAAATTCTAAGTTTGGAAAAGGCTTGTCATTAGTGATCTTGCTTAGCCTTTGAGCCTTAATCATTGAATATTTATAGTTATTTAAATTCTGTACATTTTTCTACGTAGACAGATGTCTGACAAAATGACCTAAATCCCTCATTCACGTCGTTATCGGATATTAAATTTTCATGAAACGTTATTTTCAATATGTGCATGAATGTGCTTCTAGAAAGACTACCGTAGACCACCTGACTAGAATGTTCACTAAAATATGTATGTCGTACTGATACATAGTAACTGACTATTATGGAGTAATGCAGACAGAAGATACTAGCAAAAGCAAAGCCGACGGGCTGCTGACCCTGAAGCACCCTGGCAGTTGCAGCCTAGAACTGTCATCATTGATGTCACGCAAATGGCCAAGTATATTTATGTAATAATACGTCGAAAACAATATTAATGATATGTGTGTGACTATATAAATCTACATATTATAGTTTTCGTCTAACGTTTTGTATTTGAAATTTAAGAACTATTTGTTGGGCGTTAATATTCATTATTCATTTTTAAATTACGTTTTCCACCTGGTATCTCCATCGTTGCAATTTTGAAAGAACCAGTTTTAATATTCACTATATAACCGGGACAAGAACCGGGACAACGGGTTTAATGTCAATACGCATCATCCGTTTGAGGGTGTTTTTTTTGAGGAAGTTTCATGCATGTCATCCCGCTGAGTAACGAAATATTGGTTTTCCCTGACAGTTTGGGACTGGTCATTAATAAGGGGCGGTGGGTGACAAATACCAAACATTGAACATTTTTTAGAGCCGCCCCCGGTCGCAAGACCTTTATTTTCAAGACGCCCCCACCTTCATCTAGAAAATTTAGGACCCCCCCACTTGAACATTAAATTCGTTACATTTTTCGTTTCGGTGGTAAATGGGACAAGTACTGGTGTAAGACATTGTGTAGCCTAAATAATTAGAGAACCAGTATTCCCGGTTATTTACTCCGACTCCAATGGTGAACTGCATATACTGGAAACTACGATTTCATAGGGACTCGAAAGGTGAACTATTTTGTGGGATACGATAAAGGCGATAGATTGAAAATGAGTAGGAAAGTATTAAATAATTGGGATTGCCACTTGTCACATATGT